CTTCCCCCCGCTCCCTGGGAAGCAAAGGTCACCGCTTGCGCCCGGTCCGGCTCCCGGCCGCTGCCGAGCTGGAAACCAGGAAGCAGCGTGCCCTATTTGTCAAGCGTTTGACAGCTGAGTTCATTAAGGCTTAAATAAGAAGGAATAAAAGTAAAAAATGTTTACGTACCGGGCGTCTCTTTTTCGGCAGCTACCAAAGAGCTAGGTGTGCAGAGAGAGGGACTGCACCCTTTGTATATTATATTCTTGGGATCTCTTCAGTTTTCAAGTCTGATAGAGTCCTTTGCTTGGCAGATTAATGACGACTCCGTGTTTCTTAAGGGACGTGCTGAATTAATTATTTCGCAAATCACGTGGTCAGGACTTGTAGAAATCTATTCTTATCATCTTCCTTGCACTTTGAAATTCTGCCTGTTATGACTGTTCCTAGCAAGATTATTTTGGTCTCTAGGCTTGGGGGAGGAAAAAAAAAAAAAAAAAAGAGAAAGGAATCAGGGGAAAGGGCTAGGGCTGGCAAACATGGCCGTTGGAAGCGGTGTGGCTCTGCACCGAGAGGTCCCTATTTACTGTACTGTACAGTGAGTGGGGTTTGCTATTGACTCTGCCTTTCCTCTTCATTCTTACCTTAACGACTAGTGGTGATATAATATACAGAACTGTATTGATGTATCGGGAGTAACAGGAGGAGCCATTAAACAGGAGCGAGAGAAAGTATAATCACAAAATGTGCCTCGACGTTTGAACTTCGAGTGTGTGCTTAGAAACGCACAGGCACCCTCCCCTCCGTGCACTCCAGGCTGCAAGGGCACATGCCTTATTCTGTGCACCACGCTCCCTTCCCGGGCTGAGCAAGAGCCTGTCGTTTTGGACTCGTGCCTTGACCACACTCCAGGAGAGGACAAGTCCTCGGTGACAAATACTTATGATAAAAATAGGGCAATCGACTTCTCCTGGCCAGAGGTATGTGTTATTGTCTGAGGGGCTTAGGCAGGGGAGAAGAAAATGATGGTTGCCTTAGGTGCACAGGAGGTGCAAGTTTAAACTCTCCAGGTTCGTGTTTTCTTGTGATCTTTGGTTTGTATGGGCTGAAAAAGTGAAGCTTACTGCTCAGGGAAAGCCACCCACTGCATTTCAATTTCAAACTTCCATTTAATTTTTTTAATTGATTCCTTCCAGGACTGACCTAAAAGGCACACATCTGTGTGGGGATCGAGATGACTTCAGGTGTGGCTCCTTGCCTCCAACCACACATGCATAAATCCGGGAGTCATTCTAGGAGGGCTTGTTAAATGCAAAGCAGTAGCAAATGGATGACAGGCACTTTTAACTGCAGCCTAAATGTAAATATAGACTCCAGCTTGGCCTAGAGTCACACCATTATGGCTGGGGCAATCAGCTAACCTGTTCAAAGGGACATTTGGAAGGATGCTATGCAGAGTCACTCATCTTTTAACACTGTAATGATGGGAGGGACCAGCATTTTCACAGAAGAGAGACCCACCTTGTAAGGACTGTTCGGTCAAGGTAGAAACCAGAATCTATTGCTCTACACCTTTTATTATTTCAAAAGTATATGGAGGGCTTACATCAAAACTACAGGTGACAATTAGTATAAATAACGCTTTAATCAATGGCAGCAAAACATTGGCAGAGTCTATAAAAACATCACACTGTAACAGACATGAGAGTATTGCTGGACAATGCGACCGTTTAACAAAGGCTCCAATGCACAACGTTTCACCCATGATAAACAAAAATAACCAGCTTCCCTTCCTACACAAAGGAACTCTGGAGGAGGTTTAAAAAGCAATACAAAATAAACCCAAGGTTCGTTTTCCACGGGACATAATGACCGGTGGGTGCTCCTGGTCGTTATTACAGACATTCCTCACCCTTCAGAGCATTGGCAGTTGGAAGCTATTTCTTTTGGTACTTTCTGCCTCCAGTTCATTCCTTCCCCGAGCTTACAGCGCAACACCAACTATGTAAACTTACAGTGCCCCAGCCTCACTCAAAGGGGACTTGCAAACAGG